CTTGCAGTTGATCAGATGGACAGCCACAAAAACACCAGGAACCACTGAAAGCAGCAAGGAAATTGTCATCTAAAACATACCCCTTGTGTAGCCGGAGGCTGATAAGCACTTGTGTAAATCTGATGGGAGAATAAGTAAAACTACAATTATATAGCGTGCATTATCACATATTTTATGACATTATATGTTAGTCATTAGTTACCAATATGTTGCTACCACCATTTTAGTAGCTTAGAGCAATCAACAATTGATTGCAAAACTTAAATGCAACGTTCAAAGCTGATTGAGTGCCGCAAGGCTCTATACTTGGCCCATTGTTGTTTATAATTTACATTAATGGTGTGCAATCATGCTTGGAAAACTGCCGTATGGTGATTTTTGCAGATGACATAGCAATGTTTTGTCCGGCTTCAACAGCAGTAGAATTACAAGCCAAACTGGACTTCGATCTACAAGGTGTCATGAATTGGCTTCGGAACAACAAGTTGTTGCTAAACGTTCCCAAATCAAAACTGATGATTATCGGAAATTCAAGAAAGTTGAAAAAGTTTGCAAACATTCAGCTAATCGCAAATGATGCACCATTGGAAAGAGTCCAAAATTTTAAGTACCTTGGTGTTATTATTGACGAGAATCTTTCTTGGAAGAGTCACATCGAAAAGTTACAGATAAAAGTCTCACAACGCCTCGGCATCCTGCGCAGAATAAAGCACCTACTACCTAAGCATGCACGGATAATATTTGTCAATACAATGATCACGTCATTACTGGATTATGGTAGCCTGGTATGGGGAGATAAGAAAAACAAGATTATGATGGATAGTTTACAAGTATTGCACAACAAGGCAGCAAAGTTGGTACTGGACAGACCAATGCTTTCCTCTTCTAGTGATGCCCTAAGAATGTTACACTGGTCTACCCTGAAGCAAAGGCGAAGTATACGTAGATGCCTCTATGTATATAAATCAATAAATGGGATAAATGATATTGATAACACATTTATCCGAAATGCAGATGTTCACGGTTACAATACAAGACATAAGAACGATTTACGGCCAATGAAATCCAGTACTTGCAAAGGACTACTTAGATCAAACTGTGATTTCATTGCGGACTGGAACCTTTTAGATGAAAATATTAGAAATTCGTCTTCTTTATCTAATTTTAAACGTGCTGTTTTTAAATTTTTTAAATCAATATAGAACGAACTTAAACTTTTAATATAGTCTACTTTTTCTATATAGAATAGAACTTTTAACTTTCTTACATAATAATATAACGGAATGTAATATACAGAGCCCTGCTGAAAAGCACTTGAGTAGTGATGTAGGCTGTCTGTTATAAATAAAGTTGTTATTATTATTATTATTATAAAGTATATAATGCAAAACAAGTAAATTCCAACAAGGATTTTGAGATAGAACCACTACCGTACGAAACAATTTTGCATTGGGGGAGGGGCTGATTTGTCAGTGGCGATTATCAGGTAATTATTTCCCTCTCAAACTTTACAGATTATCACTAGTTTACAATTTTTTATTTATTTTTTTTTT